TTTTTTTTTTTTTTTTTTTTTTTTTTTTTTTTTTTTTTTTTTTTTTTTTTTTTTTTTTTTTTTTTTATGTTATTAATCACCACATTCATAAGGTCGGAAGTGTATAAACAATGTTTCGTTCTCCTCTTCAATCGACCCCTCAAGGTTTTTAAAACGCGTCTACTGGGGAGAGATTTTCATATCTTTATAATTACTCTCCTCAGGAGAAGTTTCATGCCCTTGTAAAGAATGGTTTGTTCCCCTCTCCAATCAATTTGGGATCTCAAAATTCACCTTCTTCGAAGTCCAACGTCTTCGCTGGCATACCACTCGATGTCTAGTTCTAATACCATTTGTAACAACATAATTTTACCGTTAGCTGATATTGTCCTCTTTGAGTTTTCTTTTCGGGCTTCCCCTCAAGGTTTTTAAGACGCGTCTACTAAGAGAGAGGTTTTCACTCTTATAAAGAATGCTTCGTTCTCCTCTCAAATCGATGTGACATCTCACTGGCCTATTAGGGACGAACATAAAAATTCATAGTTAAGCCTCCCAATGGATAAAAAATTAACTGATAGTTTAGTGTATTGGCTATAGAGTTTAGCTTAACTTCATCTCTAGTTTTAAGAAGCACAAAAAACAACACTTGGCATCCAGAGGTAAGGCCTTGACAATTCACAGTAAACATGTTTTGTAACATCAAATGATAGTCAAAAGGTTTATGTACAAGTCCCATTGTTAGCAGATTTTAAGGTAAATCTTTGTTTGTCGCCTCTACAGGTTCACATAAAAGTAATAACAAAAGAAACCTACTCTGTTGAACCTTGATCTGTTCTTGAAGGCTATCTACGACGCCGATCGGTTCTTAACTAGAGGAACCAGTGACTGCATGACATCGGTCATCAAAGGCCGGTAGTCGGCTTCGGGCTGCACGCACATGGCTGCAATGGCTGCTACCTGAAGAACAGATACTTGTAGGGTCATAACAAAGACCAAGATTGGCAAATTCATAAGCATAGACTTAACAAACCTGAATTAAATCCTTTTTTGAGTATTTCCCTTGAATTGCTGGATCTATAATTTTCTCTACTTTTTCCCTATTAGTCAGCTTTGGGAGAGCCTATAAGCCATGTAATACAAGATCAGACATGATTATACGACGATTATATGATTCGATAGAGCTCTTGTAAGGTTCTTGTAACATAATTAACTAACCCACGAGACAAGAACGTGCTCGCCCTGTGGCCGTTTGATATCTACTGGCACTCGACCCGTCAATAGCTCTAGTAGCACAACGCCATAGCTATATACATCTGATTTTGTTGTAAGTTTACCTGTTGAAGCATACCTGCACATTGCCAACCGATATTCAAACGAGTGAAAGTAATGAAAAATTGGACGTATTTTGAAGACTCACTCTGGTGCTAGATATCCGGTGGTTCCGAGGAATTGTGTAGATATCTGACCATTGATCTTATCGGAACCCGTCTTGGCTGAGCCAAAATCCGAAACCTTGGCTCGGAAATCCTGATCCAATAGAACATTGGTTGACTTGAAGTTTCTATGAATAACAGATGGAACGGCATGCTCGTGGAGGAACTCGAGTGCCTTGGCACAATCAAGGGCTATCGTCAATCTAGTATTCCAATCCAATGGCTGAGATTCAGTGTCCGGATTATGCAGATGATGATGAAGAGTACCATTGTGCATAAATTCAAATATCAGAAGCCTATGGTGTTTGTCAGCGCAGTAGCCAAGCAACTCCACCAGACATGGAGACTGCAAGCGGCTTAGAAGATCCACCTGCTTTCAATCAGTTGCAAAAATGAAAGGGTGAGATAACTTTAACTTAAATTTCATCAATACATACCCAACTTCAGCTTAATACCAAAAACCGTTGATGTTTCTCGGGTCTAGACCTTGGGGGCTCGAGTGCCCCAGGGTATAGGGGAGCATATCCCCGACTCCCAATTATAAACAAATGGTCAAATGTAACAACAAACGTCCAAATCCAACCAAATAAAGCATTCAACACAATTAGAAGAACCAATGCCTGTCTAGACCTTGGGGGACCGAGTGCCCCCAGGGTATAGGGGAGCATATCCCGGACTCCCGGTTATAAACAAATGGTCAAATGTAACAACAAACGTCCAAATCCAACCAAATAAAAGCATTCAACACAATTAGAAGAACAAATACCCGTCTAGACCTTGGGGGCCCGAGCGCCCCAGGGTATAAGGGAGCGTATCCCTAACTCCCGGTTATAAACAAATTGTCAAATGTAACAACAAATGCACAAATCCAACCAAATAAAAGCATTCAACACAATCAGAAGAACTCGTGCCCGTCTAGACCTTGGAGGCCTGAGTGCCTCAGGATATAGAGAAGCATATCCCCGACTCCCGATTATAAATAAATGGTCAAATGTAACAACAAATGCCCAAATTCAACCAAATAAAAGCATCAACACAATTAGAAGAACCAATGCCCGTCTAGACCTTGGGGGCCCGAGTGCCCCAAGGTATAGGGGAGCGTATCCCTGACTCCCGGTTATAAATAAACCGTCAAATGTAACAACAAATGCCCAAATCCAAACCAAATGAAAGCATTCAACACAATTAGAAGAACCAATGCCCATCTAGACCTTAGGGGCCTGAGTGCCTCAGGGTATAGGGGAGCATATCTCGAACTCCTGGTTATAAATAAACGGTCAAATGTAACAACAAATGCCCAAATCCAAACCAAGCAAAACCATTCAACACAATCAGAAGAACCAATGCCCGTCTAGACCTTGAGGGCCCGAGTGCCTCAGGGTATAGGAGAGCATATCCCCGACTCTCGGTTATAAATAAACGGTCAAATGTAACAACAAATGCCCAAATCCAAATCAAACAAAACCATTCAACAAAATCAGAAGAACCAATGCCCGTCTAGACCTTGAGGGCCCGAGTGCCTCAGGGTATAGGAGAGCATATCCCCGACTCTCGATTATAAATAAACGGTCAAATGTAACAACAAATGCCCAAATCCAAACCAAACAAAACCATTCAACACAATCAGAAGAACCAATGCCTATCTAGACCTTGGGGGCCCAAGTGCTTCAGAGTACAGGGGAGCATATCCCCGACTCTCGATTATAAATAAACGGTCAAATGTAACAACAAATGCCCAAATCCAAATCAAACAAAACCATTCAACACAATCAGAAGAACCAATGCCCATCTAAATTTTGGAGGCCCGAGTGCCCCATGGTATAGGGGAGCATATCCCCGACTCTCGGCTATAAACAAACGGTCAAATGTAACCACAAACGCTCAAATCCAACCGAACAAAAGCATTCAACACAATCACAAGAACCAATGCCTATCCAAATTCAGAGTTCAAATCCAAGAATAAACCTCATATTTCAATAACAAGAAGGCTGGCATTGTAAATGGAAACTCAAAACAAGTTCAGTCAAGAGAGATATAAACAAAGAAGAATTAATGATAGCTATTGACCTCCATTCTGAAAGCACGTTCCCTCTGCTTCCCATCTCTATGGATCATCATAATAGCAACCACAGCTCCATCTCCAAGAACTCCTCTATAAACAATCCCAAATCTTCCATTTCCAATCACATTAGCTTCATTAAAATTATCAGTAGCCAATTCCATTTCCTTGTAAGTGAAAACCTGACCTCCCCTGATTCTATTCCGAGCAATCCTCCCAGAATTGGCTCCATATAAGTACCCATCCCCCTTAAATTCTGCAAAAATCCAGACCCAATTTGGAATCAATTCAAGGAATGCAATAAAACAAATTGTGGGTGAAATTCAGAACCTGGGTTTGAATCGAAATTGATGGCTATGTGGGGGTTGAATGTGGTGGATTGTGCGGCGGCGGTGGCGGCGGCGGTGTCTCGAGCTGTTTTGAGGCGGTGGAGCATGGAGATGAGGAGAAGGAGGGCGAGAAGGACGGCGATGAAGATGATGGAGGCGATGATGATGAGGAAAGAATTGGAGGTGAGAAGAGCAATGTGAGTATGGATGTGGTGGTTTGGTGGTGGCGGTGTTGAATTGTGAAGCTCCATGAGCAGAGCTACAAAAGGAAGAAGATGGTTAGTGTAAATGGAGGCTGAGCCTTCCCTTTCTTTAGGAGCTCATCCATTTTATCTCTCTCTCTCTCTCTCTCCCTCTACTTCCCTAATAAATTATTCCAAGTGGGTAAGAAGTGGGCGACAATTCTCGAACATTTAGATTCTATCGTCTCAAAAGTTGATAGTTCGAAGGAATTGGATAAAAGAGAAACTATGTTCGATAAATTTGAAAAATATGTATAGATTCTAGTATATTCTGGGTAAACATTCTTCTGCTCGAGATGTATATGGGTTCGGTTGAAAAAATCTTTTGTAGGTTGGTTGGGTTGGTGACCCGAGCAACCCGAGCAACTCAAGTAGAGTTTACAGTTAAACCCTCTAAAGGTATATATGGGTTTGGTTGAAAAAAACTTTTGAATCCACTCAAATTTCATATTGGTTGGATTGGTGACCCTAGCTACTTGAAATTTCAGATTGGTTGGGT